TATATATATATATATATATAAACTTGCCATTATATATAATCTATTATATTTTATTTTTGCTTTTTTTTTTCTCCTCTTAATATATGACATATTTTCTTCATATTAATATATCAATAACAAAATTTAAACTTAAAATCATGTCTAACTTTATACTATTCGGCTGCCCGTGTACATTACACATGATTTGTGAGACTTTGTGAATAACATTTTCTTGTATTCAGCCAGTTTTTTTTTTTTTAAATAATTTACTATTGCTAAATCATACAGAATGGTCTTTGTTAACTTAAGAATGCAAACAAATTTTTATAAACAAACTTATTAAGGAATAATATATATATATATATATATATATATATAAAGTATAATATTTGCTTTAGTAAAAACTAAAACAAATAATTTTTATTTAATATTTTTTTATTTTAAATTGTTAACAAATATCCACAAAAATGTTCATTTGTAGAAAAATTCGTAACAACTAATGTCAATCTCATAAACATAACAATAATGCTAAACCACGTGAAACTTTTTAATTAAATTAATACAAAACAGAGCAGACAACTATGACAGCAATGAATGTGCACGTGGTTATTTTTAGAACCATTTTTCTCTCATTACCAATTTACCACTTACAAGTTATCAGTAAACATCTTTAATTTTTGTTTTTGTATGTTAAAAGCAATGTGCATAAAATAACATTATTATATAGGTTCGATTTTTATTATCTTGTGCTTTGATGTTAAAACAAGATAAAGTTTTATACCTTCGCTAGTGAAATCAATAATTTATTCAACAACCAAGCCAATTATTTTAAGGACAAAATTTAGATACTTTAAATATATTTTTTTGTGTTATTTTTCAAACAGAATTAAAACTTTAACTTGATCATTTGTATTATCTTTAGTACAAATCTTTATTACATAATTACTGAAATAAAACTTTAATTTCAATTAAAAAACACCACAAGAGACACAGACAAGAAAAGAAAACATATTCTATCTTTTATCGTTATTCCAAAGGCCACGGAAGGTGTAACTAAGAGAATTATTTGTTATATTTATTTGTGCTTCTTCTTGGTGAATTGCGGCTGATGGTATCCAGGGCATCCTAGTGTTCACACTGTTCATGAAACAAAGATTGTTATTAATCTAGGATAACATTGTTTGTTTTATAATCATTTTTGCAAAACTTTCATTCAAGATACTTTTTAATTGATTGAGAGAATATAAATCTTTATTCTAATATATAAAAGTGAAATTCATAACATAAAAACTTTGTACAAAAATTTCGATCTGCTTAATAGTAATCATTTATGTTAGAATATGCCAATGAAATTTTGCTTGTTTAGGTTTTATCTTTACTAGAAAAAAGAATTAATTCACACCGAAAATATTTACATACTGTCATCACTTATTATTTATTTTTATTTTTATTTTTTTGGTAAAACTGTTACCACTTAACACTTAGGCATGGTGATATAATCTAAAAAAAACTTTGCTATAAAATTAGGGTTAACTTTTTTCTTAAAATCAGAATTAACAGCAAAATGGTATTTTATATATATATATATATAATTACAGTATTTGTGTGAAATATATATTAATTTGATTGACGTCTAATTTTTACTGAAAAATATAATAAAATATTTTTAGTAAAATTTGATCTCTTAACGAGTTATTTTTATCCGAGAAAGCATATTTAAAAGTTAATTTAAGGAATGTTTAGTGTTAGATACAAGTGAGTGGAGTCGGTGGAATGTGCAACTAATATGAGTTGGATGCAATGAGGCATTCGGTTGTTCATGCGTCCACAGCCCACACCGACAGTGAAAGAGTGAATCCATTATAAGTTGAGGAATACAAATATTTAAACAAAAGTAAAGAACAAAAGCCTTATTATAATTGTTATAGATAATTTTAATTTTATAAGCTAGCCACGTGCACCAAAGAATAAACATATAATATGTGATGTTTACTCCAAAATCTTGTGCTGAAAGATCACTACGAATATGTTTGATTATCTATTTTAAAGCATTAAAATGTGTTTTCATCTTCTAATAAAATACAAAAACAAGATTATTATTTTGAAATAAAAACAAATTGAGTTGAATTCAACTTTTATGTAAACGCATACTATATTCTTTGGTAGAATAAAGATTCTACAACCTTTAGAACCACTCATGTCATTTGGAAGATGTCCAAGGCAAAAAAATTTCGTTTTTCAGGAGAATCCATGTTATGTATCGTCTTGTACTCCAGCATTTTCCTTATTTTTTTAAGTTAAATGCTAAGAGTGTTCTAGATATTTTTTAAGATTAAAAAATATATATTATTAAGATTGACTATTTTATTTTATTTTACTTTTACTTTTGTAGCTTCTTTACTGCTGGATGCAGTTTAATTCGAGTAAACCCTGAATATCTAATGTATAGTTTTATTACTTATTTATTTTAACAAATGTGATAGAATGGAAAGTCACCCTCAAATTATTTTAGAAAAAAAGGGTGTCTGTTATTGTCTACAAGACACTTTTAGGTGTATGCTTAAAGTGTGTATACAATAAAAGATTAAAATAATAATAAAAATAGAGATAGTTATATATTGCATACAACGTCGATTATTTGATGTTTTAATAATGGAACAATGGCACCAAAAATATCTAAATATTTATAAGACTGATTGATTTCATGTTAAACGCTCAAAACATGCGTTCAAAACACGGTAATCAAAAGTTATTAGGAGTTGCTAACACGGTAATCAAAAGTTATTAGGAGTTGCTTTTGCCTTGATCGTGAAAGTAGATGTTAAAATTCCAAAATGCTAAGAGGAAAGCAAGAAGCATTGCCATTTCAGCTTAAACAAGTTGCTCAAGTGTCAAGATGCTTGAAAAACAATGTTTTCTCTTTTAAGCTTTTCGGGTGCAGCCATGGATTTGAAAGGACTACCATAACTATTTTTTTTTTATTTCTTTTTCAGAAAAAAAAAATTACAATTTCAATCTAATATATGAACCACAAAAATTGTTTGAATCAATACTAGTGTTACAATTGCTAATGCCACAACTCATTTGCTCCTAATGCCCTATATAACATGTTTCAAAATTGGTTGAATCTACAATCAAGATCTCTTCACAATAGCAGTAGCATAGAAAGGATGATGACAGAATGTAAAAGAAATCTTCAACTTTGGGTCAAGGGTTCCTGCACGGCAAAGATTCAAGACAATGCTGTTACGCTCTGCTACTTGCTCTACTCTGCGCAGCTCAGCTATTGTGTCAGGGTCATTGGAAAAACCACTTTTCACCTCTTTTACTATCTTCTGAGCTTCCTTGAAGTAATCAAATGTTGCTAGGGTCTGAAGGACAACAAACAAGTAAAAACCCTATCTCTAAAAGCAACAACACTAGTAGTCTTGAAAAGAATACTCACAGAGAAGTTAGCATGGGCAGTTGACTCCTTGAATGTCACATATGAGATGTTATCAGGGACGCAAGCTTTCTGTAAAAGCTCGAATTGCTGAATGAATATCTGGAGAAAAAAAAAATGCATGAATTAAGTTGCAAATGAAAAGCTTGATTCACAATAAAGCACACACTACCATAGTTCCCATAGCTATGTACTTATTGGGGGTTAACCATTCACAAATTTGTATCAAGATACATATACATATTACTGTTAAGTATCACCAAAATGCAGTTTGCTAAATATCTCTGGAACTTATAGTAATTCACAAAATGTACCAGGATACCATAGAAAAAGCCTCTAAATGCAGTTTAGATAATTTATTGAAGGTTTTTTCTTTAAATTCTGGCAAATCGATACTTGTATATCCAAAACTATTTTCTTATCAACACGACAAGATTACAAGTATTCAGGCCAAAAATCAAAAAAACAGAAGACTTACAAGATTGAAATGGTAGCCATTAGTGTACTCTTATTATATTAAATATAAAAAATTTGGCACTTAATTTGTTAAGACAAAAAGCTCGATGCCAAATTTTAGTTTTACCAAAGACAACATTTTTAATACATTTGAAAATTGTATGTGGTGAAAAACAGAAAACCTTACCTCGTGTTCTGTATTGAAAGGCCCTTGCGGTCGAACAATTCTGCACTCATTCCTCAAAGCAGCAAACATCTAAAAAAATAATTGGATAGCTGCAGAATGTAAGTCCACTAAATTGGATCAAATAACAAAGTAAAAACACAGATAAAGTAAATTATCATATACAGGGAGTCAATTTTTTTTATTTTTTTTTTGATAAGCAAAGGAGATTTATTAAAAAGGAGTACAAGGAGTTCTCTAACCCATATACAAATACAAGAGGTACTCTAACCCATATACAGGGAGTCAATATGGCCATGTCAATTTGGCAAAATAGGGTTCTCAGTTTTCACATACAGACTACTAAATTCTAGATACCTACAGATCTGGGAGAAAAATTTCAAGCCACAAATGCCTCAAATTTCTATTATTTCTAGATGAAATAATGAAAGAAATCATTATTGAGAAAATATATGAAGTATTACCATGCTTAGCCCTTCAGCTAGATATATTTGGCTTTGAAGAAACAAGACAGCTGCTGAGAACTCCCCATCCTTAAAAGAATCCCTTTTTTTCTTTGACTTTTTCTTAGCTGGTCAACAGTACACAGGTACATATCGAAGTCAGAGTCAGCATAAGCTTACTTTTTCATCTAACAATCAAATGCAGATTCTTAAGCATACTACTGTGAGTCATTAAAGTTTAAACTTTTGGCAAAACATAAAGCAAAGTATTCCCCGTTACATATATCAATCACTCAACAAAAACTCTTAATGCATTACTGCCACATACCAGAGTCACTGCTCATTACTATCCGGAAATGTTTCTTCTCTGCGAGCTTGATCAATACAACGTAAATATACCAGTAGACCATGCAATAATCATGGACAGAGTAGAGTTCCAATTCAAATCCCAAATTGAGAAATCGAAAAGCTATCCAATAAGTTTGCTCTTCTACCCATGCGAGAATGTGTTGATATATTTTCAAACCTATTTTCTGCTAGAACAGAGCAATCTTATAAATTAGCTGATGAATGGTAGTGTTTATAATAGCTAATAGACAATCAACCAATTTATGCCCATGAAAAGCATATGTGCTGCAATGCAACACAAGAAAATTCACTTCCTTGAGAGTTTAACATTATTTCTCAAAGGAATGTGATAAATAACTTTTTAAGGAGCACCAGACAACAGGTAAACTAACAAGCAACAAACCTTATTGTTTGCTGTTTTAGAGGCTTCTTCAAACTCACTTTTAAAAGCCATCTCCAGCTGTAGAGTAATGCAAGATTAAATTAACAGATTAGCTTTAAAATGAACTTCCAGGAAGTCATAAAATATATGTATTTGCATTAACCATAACGCTGAATCATACACCAAATGCTGGAATATCTTGACCATTTGATCTCTTCCCATATACCAAATTTCCACTGTAACCCTTTACTTTTTCTACTTTTTTTGGTATGCTTTTTAGAGGATTGTGGGGTTGGGAGGGGGGGGTGTTGTGCTGTTAAAGAGGAAAAACAAACACTAGTAACTCAAAAGCATACAAAATGATGCTATTCCAAGCACCCTCCCCCCAAATTATCATTTTAGCCACTTTACAAAAGAAGGATAATAATTAAGAAGCATTCATTAAAACCTTTGTAAAATCTAATTGAAATTAATGAAACATGTTCTATGTGACTGAATGTAGCAAAAATTTGAGTGGGACTTTTGGCATTCCTTCCTCAACCCCATCCATTTCTGTGTTTTGTACTAAGACTATATATGATTCACTAGAAAGAAAAAAATGCAACTCTTAAAATTTAAAGGCATAATAAACATATTCAACCAGATTTTGCAGCATAGGAAAGAAAAAGGAGGAGGGGAAGTTTGTAGAATACTCCAGAAAACAAGCAAAGAACACACCTGTACATAGCTGACACGCCAGTCTTGTAACATTTTCCCTAGCTTACGCCTTTGCCATGCAGCATTTGTACAAAGAATTTTGAGTAAATGCATCACCAACTGCATGCACAATATTTGTACAGATTATGCATACTAGAGTTTCTAATTAAACAAATCATGAGTTGTGCAACCATTTCTTATGGGAAAAGAATTCATATTCAAATGACACTGTCCTTGAGTCAGAAAATCTAGGTTAATTATAAAAACTAAAGCAAATTAAACTAAAGGCAGAGATTGAGCTTTGATAACTTTAGCTAAAAAGATGATGCTCGTCATTAAAAGCATGCTTGTCTATACAAATTCAGGAACGCATACAAAAAAGTGAAAGGAGTTACGCCATGTACATCATTAACAGTATGCCATACCAAAAGGTTATAGGTGCATTACCTGTCCTAGTTGCACCATAAATTCATTTTTCTGAATGTCATGGTTCTCTGTGACATCAGGTAATCCAGCAGCTCTAGTGATCATAGAAAATATAGGATCTCGGCCATAGAGTTTCCCGTCTTGGACCAGCAGAAGCTGAAAACAAGTTCTAATGGTTGAGTATGGAGAACCCATCTCAGAACAATAGTAGAAAGTAACATTCTACTTTCGTGCATATCTAACATGCCTTTACAGACAAAGATATATTGATACAATGGACCAATAGGACAAAGACATGCATTAAAATTCCAATACAAAGCATGAAGACATAACACATGTTACTTTGTGTCTCTAAGACTCTAACAACCCATAACAGGTTCTTGTGTTATAAGAAATCTGATGCGTGCTTAGCCATGGATAATAGTTCCTTTAACATTTTGACTGATAGATCTAAGGTTTATAGTGAGGTAACTCCTTAATATTCTGTTCAACAATGTAAAAACAGATAATATATAATTATATATTATAATACTCATTGGCTACAAGTAATATGGATAATAGTTCTGGTTAAATCATCAGGTTACAAGTAATACATGCTTGTCAGGAAACAATATCACAAAAAAAAAGGGGCAACCTGGTGCTATAAGGCTCCCACTGTGGGCAAGGTTCTTGGAAGGGTCAGACCGACATGGTCTATAGTAGACAGCCTTTTCAAGAGGCTGATTCCTCAATATAAGGTATAATTGAAGAAAACAAATTTACAATTTTAATATAAGTTATACTTTTGATCCTGTATCTTGTTTTTTAAATTCATTTTGGTCTTTTATCTTTTAAAATGTTCATTTTGATCCTTTATTTTTTATATTAGAATCAATTTGATCCTTTTAAAACAATGATCATTTTCAATTTTATGACATCATTTTGAATCAACTTTTGAAATACAATTGACATTTGAATCTAAAAGTGTTATAAACATGAAAATCGTGTGAAAAATATATCTCATAAACAACTAGAAAATAATATGACATTAGATTTTTTGAAATTTTTTTATTTTCACCATGTTTATAACACTTTTGGTTTGAACTTCAATTACATTTAATAGTTTTTGTATAATTGAATCTTCTAAGACAAGTTTCAAGACTTAAGTCAGTCAAAAAAGAACTAAATTGACTTAAATTTAGGAGATAAAGGACCAAAATGAATATTTTAAAAGATAAAGAATCAAAGTGAATCTAAAAAATAAGATAAAAGACCAAAAATATAATTGAATCTTTAATATATTAAATTAGGTAATGTTCATAAAAATAAAAATAAAAAAAGTACATTTCTCATAGTCATCCCGGCTATTTCTTGTAAGAGGTAGCAATTAAAAAAATCTAATTGAAAAATATTTAATTTAATTAATTATATAGCTAGTCTAAGCAGAATATACCAAGTCAAAAGACAGGAAAACATTCATCAAATGAATGAGAATCAAGGACATCTTAAGATCAACCTGAAGATGGGCTCTAGAAACCAAATCAGGTTGCGATTTCTGGAATTTAACCACAAAGAGTAAAGCAGCTTCCAATGATGGGTCCAATGAGTAGGAACATATAACATCTAGGTCTTTAAGGAGTTTCTTGAAATATTCAAGGGCCTGGAAGAGATAAACTGGAAACATTATAACAATGGAATTTAAGTTCAATGCAATAAAAGTAACCCTATAACACTTACCTTTTCCCAAGAAAGAATTTTGATTGCCCGCGGTGGTGTTGGGGCTGACAATCTACAGTTTAAACTAGCATCAAAGCCAATTGCTTGACAACCAGATGCAGTTGTATTAACTATGTTTTGCTCAGACATTCCATGAGCATTAGCTCTAAGAAATTCTGAAGATTTTTGAATGTAATCAATCTCTGAAAAGCATGATGCTATGTGTTTTCTTGCTAACTCCAAACCTCTTCCTTGGGGTCGTTTCATAGACATCAAAAGATGATAAAAATGCTGAAAGAAAATCATGTCATGAAATTTCAGTCAAAAAAGCATGCTTGGTTGACAAGAAAAAATTGAAATTGCAATGAAAGCTGAATTGTCACAGGAAGGAAGCACAAATGCACTAAATAAACAACTAATAAAAGTACCCATCACAGAAAGCAACTAGGGTTAGGTAGTTGGGAGGGGCTTGGGTAGTTTGGAGGTCACACATTTGAACCTCCATGAATCCATTGAGACCGGAATAATGATGGTGTAAGGGATACAGAAGGTTCCAGGTATGTGTACCCAAGTTTTAAAGCCAGATGTGTACCATGGCAGATATGGGCATTAGGAATAGAACATCCTCAACTTCCTTTATCAAACCTAAATTATGCTAATCAGAGAAAGTTCAAAGGTTGCATGATAATTTTACGATGTTTCTCATCCTATCTTTGACATGTGTGGATTGATTAAATATATTATAAAAATTATGTTAATTTATAAATAGACACAACTTGTGTCTAATGCATAAATTATGCGCGAGTGTAATTCTGCATGCTTGGCATAACTTAGAAGAGAATAATCATAGGATAAAACCTTACGAAAACGTAATCGACACAACAGTGCTTTGCAGTAGCCTTCTTCCAGATCAGGATTATTTTGAAGCGGCTCAATATCTGCAACCAAATAACTCGACTAAATTAAAATATATGTTGCACCCCTTTTGTGATTGGGGGAAAAGGCAGGAAGATTTTGAGTTTGACATTATGAAGCTTAGAGACTCTCATAGCATTTGGGTATTATGAGCAATAAATGAAAATCATAATTGCTTATGCCATTGAACTCCGAATTTCTTATTTTTATTTCTATGTTCTCTGACTTCACCAGTGTACGCACAGCAAAACAATTTTATAAGAGAAACGTAAAAAAAATGATCAAACATTTAAATGATGCTTATGTCTAAAATATATTGGATGGTACAAAAAGAAGATGAAAGAAATAAAATTATTCAAGGATGGCATGAAGACAGACATAACAGATGCTTAGAACATTTCAAACCAAGAATATTAACACTCTTCCAAGGTTATTAATTTTGAGGTCTAATTTTTTCTTCTAGAACAGTATTACCAAGTGGCACCCTCATTCCCTTTCTACAAAATTATTTGTGAACCATGTGACAATTGACTATGATGAGCCCTGACCAACAAAACAAAAGTTAAGTTTTAATTTTCTACAAGCAATTACCTTCTGACAATCTTCTTTTTGATGATGAAGCCTTACAAGCACGCAATTGGCGAGATATTGTTTCTTCAACAGCATTTAGCATTGTTAAAAACTTTTCATCCCCATCTCCACTCAAAGGAAGGCCATATGCCATGGTAAATAGATCCTCTTCCTGACATGAATAAATATGACTATTTTTTTAATAGAAAAAAGAAAAATACTGCAAGAATACGATCTCAAAATAGGACAAACAAATATGGTCATATGTTCATAGAAATGTACTGCTTATAAAAAGTATATATATGTAGAGCATGTGTTAGGAAATCAAACAACTAGGAACAAATATCTATATGCACCCATTTAGAGGAAGGCTGCAAGACAATGGCTCAATGCAAAATTGTAATCTTCATGTTCATATAATTACCACTAGGTTTAATCCATAAAGTAAGATCCACATAAATAAATAAATATTAAACATAGAGAATCACAAGTCTTAACATTCTATTCCATATTTTTCTTCCTAAAGTAATTTGATGAATGGAAACAAGACACCAAATAATCACATTCTTCCAAAAGAAGAAAAAACATTATTTATTTCATCAAACAGAAGAATTAAAAATTTCAGAAAGATAACGATAACAATGCTGAAAAAATGTTTGTATATAATAGAGATTATTAAAGAGCTGTTGGAATACTTTACTTCATGTGTTCGAGCTTCTGATACAACTGAAAGAACAGCTTTGCACGTTGCACATATGATTTTACAGTAAGAGTGCAACAGGGCATGTGATGATGTCCTTTCAAGTCGTAGGAGATAGAGGCAAGAATAGACAGTTTGTGCCAATGAATGACCCTTGTGCCATGTTGCCTGCAATGTCAAATGACAACTACAATAAAGTGAAGGAAAATACATAATGAAGATTTGTGTAGAACAGAGAAAACTATTGAACACAAACGAATGTTATAACTGTCTCTATTTGTGTATCACTAATATTGTGTTTATTCAAATTCTAATTTTCTATTAAACTAAAATTAATGTTTATTGGATAAATGTTTTACAATAATTCTTAGGGGGGTAAAAGGCGTGTTTGAGGAACAAAGAATAGATTTGAATGTACTCGGCAATAAAATAGAGAATAAATTATTGTGCATAAATAAATAAAGACTAAAGAGCATCATGTCAAGATTGTAACTTCTCAGCTTCACAATAATGAACATGCATACATTGATGTTTCCGTATGTGTTTTGCGATAGAGATATCTTTCAGCCCCCTTGGAAATAATTGTACAAAAACTACACTATACTTATATGAGTGACATGGCACAATTAAAATATATAATTGATTGCCAGTGTAAAAAAACTTTACATTAACAGTGTATAGGTGATTAGCTCTACTTATATACAATACAAGGTAACCAACCACATGTAAAGCAGTGGCAACATGGTATAAGTACCTCACAAGCTAGTAGATGATCCATGATGTCAATCACACATCGAACATCGGTAGTTTTATCAGCACTAATAGGAACAGGAGCAACACCATCCTCAATGGCCTCATCAAGAGAGTAGTATGTACAAGCAATACCAGAATCCATCTTCGGGTCCATTATCTGAAAAATACTCAATAAAAAGCAATTTGTACAAGTTAAGGACGCACAAAACAGATGCAAAACAGAAAAACAGGTTCTCCTACATATACCTCTAAACATTTCTCAGTAAGATAACCTCATTATCTAAATTCAAAACTGATTTACTAGAAGAAAAATATATGATTCTTTTTCTTACGAATACAGCTTAAATCATATAAAAAGAATACCTCCAATGCCGACATGGCGGCAAAGAGATTGAAGTTATCTCCATGAATAAGCTCTCCCTCTTGAAGATCTGCCAAGCGAAACAAGAAATGTTACTTCCAAAACCACCTCGAATTAACCACGGTACGATACCCCATTGATATTATTCAATTTCCTAGTTTATAAAACACAAATTTGTTAAGCCAAAAAATAAGAAACGAAGGAGCTACTTAGGCACTAGTGTTTAATTTGTTGAAGAGTACTTAAGTATGAAGCGATCAAATTTTAGGGTAAAAAGAATGAAGATAAGGAAGCAGTGCATGGTGGTAAATTTAGTACTGAAAAAATGAATGAAGTGAAGAGAAGAGAAAAGAGGACCATGGCACGCGGCTTGGAGGAGAGGGGAGACATCGGCCCAGACGGAGTTGTGGGTGGAGGGAATGGAGGCGCGTGGATCCTCGGCCATGGGTTCAAGCTTAGGTTGTGTTTTCTCTCTGCGAACTGAAGCACTTTGGAAAAGCTACATCAACCTGCGCTCAAAGGAATTGCAGGGTTTAGGGTATGCAAAATGGATCCAATCAATCAATGTCTTTGCATTTTCCTCCCCTTCCTATTCTTTTATTAACTTATCTCTATTTTCATTTTTTTTATTTTATGAAAATCATCAATTATTTTTTATGATAAATTATTAGTTATGTTTCAAATCTTTAAGGTAATGACTATTGTTTTAAGTTAACAATGTTGTCAATATAAGAATTTTGTATTATACCTTTGTATATATAAAGTGTAGAAATAAAATATTAACAAGTTTCTTTTCATAATATATTTGTTTTCTTTTGTTTAAAAAAAACTCTACAAAAATATTAACCAATATTAAGATTATAATTTCTTATGAGCATGTAAAAATAAAAGTTAAAATAAGTTTTTCATAAATTGTAATTTTTATTTTTGACAAAATTATCATCTTTGAGAATCAGAATTATATCATATTTATAAATTTTAGATATCTTTGACATGGTAAAAGAGAATTATATTCTTTAAAATTCATTACGTCCAACTTAAAATTTCACAAAGAAAAAAGATAAAAAACATTTTTTATATGAAGAAATGACAATGATAAAATTAGAATTCAAACTTAATATCATGTTCATATTACTCTAATCCTTTATTATTATGTTGACTCTAATAACTAAACAAAGACATATTTGTTTGTTAGCTTCGTACAAATCATCTTTATAAAAATCATCACTCTCAATGTATTGATTATGATTTCAAAATTCTTAAAAAAAATATAAATTAGATGAAAGGACTTGAAGCATGCAAGTATTGAATTTAAGTAGATAAGTCAAATTATAAATAATGAAGAAATTTGTGATCATACATAACAAAACACGCAACTTAAGTTAGTAAGTAACAACGCTCAAGTTAATAGTACATTCACAAAATATAAGAAGAGTCAATTGTTCGCAGATTGAACTTCATAGAGTCAAAGTCCTTCACTTCGCAATTCGCCTAAGGGTGCACGCTCAAAAAAGGGTCTATAAATAATGAAATTTTGGTCTTTAATTACAATTAAGTAAGAGACTAGACCTCATTCTTCCAAACTCAAGAAGGAAGAGGTATAATATTCACAAACTCTTTCTTCCCTCTAAAGAGTGGTGTACTGATCTAAGTTTATTGAAAAGTGAGGCGATTAATTTTTTTAAAAATCCTTTTTGTAACCAAAAGGGAAGAGGAGGGGGACCACAAGGTATGGGAGTGTCGACCTTATCAATAGAGGGGAGAAATACTTCAAAATCGATGGAATTAAGAGTTCGTACAATACACATCTCATTAATTTATACGCATACTAATGAATGATCAAATGACAAATAATCAAATATCATTGAGGTAGCTTGATATTAAGTCTTCTAAGCCATATTGAATGAAGAATCATATGAAATGCATCAAACGACTTAGCCGGTCGATTCAACGAAAAATGTTTTTGAACTTGCATCACTCTCTTTTGCAATTTCAAGTACTTGGCATGTGGAACACTTTTTAGTATTGTCTTTATTTCAGCTATCCTTTTTGATGGAATATGTAACGAAAATTTTCTCCAATCAAGAACATCACTAAAGGGAAGTTGATAATAATCTGAAATAATCACTGGAACACACCCTGTGTTGATAGATTCCACAATTCTAGGACTTGCCACTTCATAGCCACTTGGACACAAGCAAAACTTGCTTTGTCCCATGAGGCTATGATAGTCAAAACCTTTGGGAAGATACTTATGTACTTGAACTTCTTCATCTTTGTCCTTCCATTGTTCTAGTAGTGTCTCCCTAATTCTTCCATGAGCCCCTCCAGCAAAAAAAGCAAGTATAGAACGATGATTAGGAACTTGGCTAGGAATTGGTGAGCTTAATTTATAACCTCGTAAGTTCATTTCAGGCATTGACACATCTTTTGCAGGCTTAAACCCTTCAGATGTGTTGGCATTACATAACACTCTTATTAAGTTTTTGAAAAGTTCTTTGCCTGAATTCTCTCTTGATATATCTGGTGCCTACAACAAAAGAAACATGTATAAATTCATATTTTTCATTATTACTAAAATCAAATAGTATAGAATTCTGTTTGAATTTATTGGAAAAAAATCAAGAAAAGAATATAACTCTTCTGAAATTTATTGGGAAAAAATTCAACTTTTACAGCTACCATAGATAATGTAAACAAAACAAAAAGTATATATAAGTGGAGACAATCCTCATTTTACAATTTGATTTTATAAGATTAAATTTAAATCCACTTTTTAAGATGATATGCAAACTATGTTAGATTTCCTAAAAGAGTCACATAAAGTGTTCGATATAAGAAAGTATATTGAAAAAAACTTAAATCCCACATATCTTAGATCAACAAAAAAAAGGCTACACAAGGTTTATTTATACACCAATTCACAATAGTATTAGACGTAAGAAATATTATTAAAAAAAATTTAAATCTCACATCGATCAGAGATAATGTAAACAGAGAATATATACGTGAGAGACTATTCGTACCTTACAAGTGATTTTATATATTTAAGTTAGATTAAAACACAATTTCTAAGAATTAGTTTTTTTTTAAAGTACTTATAAGAGAATAAACTAAGAAGACAAAATTAATTGAATTTATCTCATAAGTTAAATGTCAAGTGTTTGTTTGGTAAATTTCTCAAGATGCACTTCAAGAAAAATAAAATAAAACAAGCTTCTATATAAATTAAGATTGTCTTATGCAATAGTTAATTTGTAGAAACTTCTCCTATTATTTTTAAAAAAAATATTATTTTAAATTTATACATATGTTAGTTACAATTTTAGATTATAGAAAAACTTATATTAATTATTTCCTTTTTTTAAGGTAGTATTTCTAAAGAAATTTATTCAATCAAATTCTAAATATGTACCTTAGTTTGAAGAAATTAAATAAGCAAACATCTATGAAAGTTAAGTATATAAATTGATTTTAGTTTTTAACCAAAAATTAAATTTTCTCTTTTATAAATATTTAGGGAAAAGTTTATATAAACATAGCCTAAAACCTACAATTTGGTGTTCTGAACTGATAAATTATGTTTTTGTTTAGTCACATGTTTGTTGAAGTATATGGTGTCAATTGTTACCCAGTCATGACAAGAAGCTAGGAAATGATCTGCTCCTTGGCTCCTGTTCCAGTATGGGTACCGTTGGGCTATAATGTTGGTATAATCAATGGTGATTCTCATCATTTGATCACGAGAGTAGGTGGTGAGAGGATTGTACAGGTATCGCACTATTTGGGCCACACTTATGGGAAGCATTAAGACATGGGCCTCATCTGGATGACGGGCCGCAAATGGGCTTACTCTGCTCTCGATTTCAGCTATTAAGTGTCCCTCGATGCCATAAATTGAACTCATGGGCGCTTCATGCGCCAAGGGTGGTTCACCTTCTTTGTAAGTCCACACTTTGAATCTCTTCGACATCTCTATATAACTTCTGCACATGTTTAAGAATGTTCTGTCAAGGTTTTGACAATGACCAAAATAAGGAACAACAATGGAATTTAATTATGCCCCCGTCAACTTCGAAAAAGAAGAAATAGTGGGCAGCGAAGACTAGCGACTAATTGCATATTAAATGTGTTGATCTGATAACGAACCTTTTGGACAAAAAATTATGATGTTTTATAAAGAAAAAATGAAGTGTGTTATTAAAAGAAAAAATAGCGAGATTGAAGGAAAACAACCGTGCCCGAAAAGTTCAAAGAAGGAAAAGAATTAACCTCAAGTCATCAAGAAAATCTGCTAGACTGACGGAGGGAGTCAACTCAAACCAAAATATATGCATTCTAATTCATTAGTCCAAGTTTTTCTTTTACATAATTCATTATTCCATGTTATTTTACGATATACAAGTTTTTCTTACCTCTCTTATTTCCAATAAATTTGACCTTTTCTGTTACATATATATATGTTTATGGGTTATTACTTTACTGTATGCATTATCATTTATCGTTAAGAAAACATATTTATTCTTATTTTACAAGCCGTATAAAAAACATTGACATCTAATCATTGGCTCTACTCCGTAGTCTCTGAGTATTATTCCTTATTTTTTAATTTTATGTAAAAAAAAATGTTGATAACTAATAATTAATTTGTCGATAATTTGTATAAAATTTTAAATAGATATGTTATTATAAAGACTGCAATATTAAGTAAAAAAGAAAATTTTTACTCATACATCTAATTAAGTAAAAAAATAACGCAAAATGAAATCCAACTAATTTCTACTTTCTCCCTACTTTAACGCAAAAAACAATAAGTAATAGGGTATATAATATATGTTAATTAATATGTTAAAACTAGGCTAGAGTATATTGATTAATTTTTCCAGAAGACCTCAATTTTAACACCTTGAATATAGGATTCATCATTTCCTCAATCTGTGGCGGGTAACTGTGTTTGTGTGCAAGGCGTGCATGAGCATGAGAAAAGAAAATAAGTATAAAAAAAGCAAAATCTATGTAATATAATTAAAAGTTACTTAACTGATGAAAAGCATAAGCGTTTCTGTACACGCACCCTCTGGGGACAAAGATCTCTTCCTTCTCTGATGTGAAGTTCCTCCATCGTATCGCTCTACGAATAGCTTCTCTTGCTTCAGCCAAGTCTTCTTCAATTCTCAGTAAACTATTATTAATCCTCTTCTGCTGCTACATATATAGAAACATAATTCACTAATTCAGTAACCACAATAAAAAAAAAATTAATATATATGTATATTGATACCATGATATATATGAATAGAAAAACAAAAAACAAAAAATTAAGTCACACTTTGACGTGGTTATCGACTTCGTGACGGGGTTTAATGATATGAATGGTAGCATTAACATGTGACAAGGGAGGAGTAGTATGTTGTTCCTTTGCCGCATGAAGAGTTTTGAGATTTTCAGGTAAAAGATTGATGGGAGGTAAAATGATAGGTACGTGTTTTGGGTTATGTGCAAAGAAAGCGATGAGGAGGATAAGGAAGAGCGAGGTTACGGAGCATACAAGCCATGAATTGGTTGTTGTTAGTGCCATGGTTATTGTGTCACTTTTCTTGATTTGGTGATCAATATATATGGCTGTATTCTATGATCACTATCTTTTTACTCTCTATGATGTTGCTAAGGGCTAAGGTATGTTAATGGGTAGGAAGAAGGGGATGGGAAGAGAGACATAGCATGAGGATTGAGGGGGAATGTTATGGAAGAAAAGTTGACCTACTATATTATGACCTTTGGAGACGACACACTTACCTCTCGTGGTTGGTTTGGAATAGTTATGGTCAAGGTTTAATGAAATGTTTTCTGAATGGGATGAACGGTGCACTTAATTAAGGACCCCAATCATATCTCCATTTACACAATTAATATATTATATATTTGATTTCATACTATTTCAATATGGATAATTCATAGATTGTTGATATTGGTTTCGAATGTTTGGGTTGAAATGTGAGTCATTAGTGGTGAAAAACAGTTTTCAACTGTGATATTCCTAAAGTGTTTAGGGTTTAGCTATCATTTTTTTTAATGTTTAGAATCATGATTTTCAAAAATTAATCATGAAAATCTGTTTAGTTAATTATAAATATTATTTAGAATATTTTTAAATATTAGTAATTGTTGCTTTTTTTTGTGTGTGTTTAAAATAATGATTTTTAAAAATTATGAAAATCTATTTAGTTAATTATAAATATTTAAAAAATAAATTTTTAGGAATCTTAATCTTTTCTTTCTGGAAATAAATTTTGCATAAGTTTCTTACAAAATGATTCTCATAGAGAAATGAAATCCTAAGATAACATTTGAAATACACGTTAGAATGGGACATATGAGCTATGTTTCCTATTTGATGAAATTAAAAGGGAGAGCAGAACGAGACACATGATTAAAATAGTTGAATCAACTGGACCGGAACAGAATATTTTATTAAATATTTTTTATGACAAAATTATCACTCCTTATCTTTATAATTCTTTCATCGCACACCAACTTAAAAAATAAAATCATTGCCATAATCCTTTTTCGTCTGGTATTGTTCGCTGCTTTTTTTCCTTCTCCTTGCACTATTCGTTGCTCTCACTGCATATAAGAACAAAACATTTTTTTCTTCTTTTGTTGTGCTATTTGTATGATTGGAATTTTTATACTTTGCTATTTGCATCATATAAATTATTGATCATTTGAATTACTATCGTTTACTAATAAAGAGAATGTTGAATCCATTCAAATTAAATCAACGTTGTTATATATATATATAATAATTGATAACCACTTCTTATCTTTATAATTCTTTCACCGCACACCCAACTAAAAAATAAAACTTTTGCCATAATCCTTTTTTGCACAACACTGCTTTTTCCCTCTCCTTACACTGTTCATTACTTTCACTACATATAAGGACAAAGATTTTTTTTTCTCTTTTATTGTGCTATTTGCATCATTGGAATTTCTGTGTTTTGCTATTTGCATCATATATATAAATTACTGATCATTTGAATTACTATCATTTTCTAATAGAGAGAATGCTGGACCCATTCAAATCAAATCAACATTGTTACATATATATATATCAACAAGTAATTTAGTATTTTTTTTTAGTAAATTTGATTTGTGTGGCTATTTAATTTGTTGTTATATACAATATAAATACATTCTTGTTCTGTCCCATTTCATTCTGTTTCGTTCTATCCCGTTCTTCTATCAAATGCTACTTAAAAATTTATTTTTGTCTTTTATTTGTTACGTTACTTTTATTTGTTTATTTAATGTAATAAAAATTCATGATTTTTAAGTAACATTTAAAAATATTCCCATAAATATTTATAATCAATTAAACAGATTCTCATATTTTTTGAATTTATGATTCCCATGAAAAAAATTATTGTGTATCAAACACTCTCTAAAAATTTATTTTTATGTGGATAAGAAGTTAGTTTCTCATCTCTCCTATGGAATAATTTCATGAGAGACTTATACAAAAATTATTCTTGAAAATTAATATTTCATAGGAATGCTATTTTTTAAATAATAAACCAAATGTGGGAAACAAACATTCATGATGTCAAATTCTTAGAAAAGTAAATAATTTTTGTGTATCAAACGTGTCCTAAGAAAATAATAAAAGAATATGACTTTATATATTAATGAAAAATATTTATATCAAATTTTTTTTTTTGAAGACACAAATTCAAAATTTATGCAGTAATAGTAAAAAAACTTATCAATTAAATAAATAAATAAATATATATATATATATATATATATATATATATTAATCTTTTAAATTTTAGGAGACTAAATTGTACAAGAATATACATTCAAGAGTAGAAGATAAACAACTTGCTATTTCTAGTGACCAAATTGTGGGTTAACACTTCATTATCCACACGACTTCCATTTTGGATTAAAAGTAGCATTAAGAAGAAAAAAAACACTTACTCCAGTGTATATTTTGGATTAAATTTACTTGAATAGGTATAACCATGCCATGGTCAAAACTAATCTTAGATACACACATCTTACATTTTATTGGTTAAAAACATTGTTAAAATATAAAAATTTGAAAGTGTCACAATTAGAATTAGGACGAGACAATAAAAACTAAAAGTGAAAGTAGGAAAGCCACTACATAATTTATTAAAAGAAAATATATGAAAAAACATTAAATAAAAGGTCTAAAACCTAAAAATAGATTTTGGAAGTGGATTACTCATGAAAAAGGATCGTTTTGCAACTGTTAGTCTGTTACCCTTGAACTTCGAGTATAATAATTTTTTTTCCTCTTACTTTTTAAGTAGTTAACAAAATTATTTTTTATTTAAAAATATTCCTTTATTATTTTTTTATCGTAGTTTAATCCCTTATTGATAAATTTTGGAAAAGAGAATATTTATGATTTTTTTTAGCTCAACAAAGATGTTATTTGGAGCGAATAATATCAATGTCACGTAGTTCTACACGGTAAAAAAAATATTTTATTTATTGATATATTTTTTTATTAATTTATTTTATTATTAAATTGGACATCACTAAGTTAGTAAGCTTTCACAACTCATATGTCTCACGCTTTTGGGATGACTAAATAATAAGTACTTTTAAGTAATTAATTTTAAATTATTTATTTATTTATTTTTGAAAAAAAAGTTAAGAATCACATTCAATTGACCTCACATTGAATACCAGAAAGAAAATAAAATTTGAATTTTTAATATTATTTACTGAAGCTAATCTAACTACAAAATCTAGAGCAAAATAAGGGAGAAATAAAACCTCGATTAGATTTTATAATCATTTTGTAATAACGTTTTTTTTTAAATCAACTTTATTGTAAATTTTAAAATGATACTGATAAAAGGAATTAAACGTATGGAGATAAAGACAAATGAGGAGAAAGAATAATTAATCTTATTTTTACTTTTATTTTTGTTACTTTCTGATAATTGACTTTATTTTATTGTTTTGTGTAAAAAAAATAGTGTTTCTAGTATTTTTTTTTGTTCGTTCTTAGAGTATTTACTGCCGATAGCAGTGATTAATCTTCTCGTTAGATTGGAGACACTTCAAAAGGTGAGATAGTGCTTCTAGTATGAAGTACTTTATTATATGTTTCATCTATATATTATTAAATTAATTTATTATTACCGGTTAAAATCGAAAGAAAAAAATAAAAATCACCTCTATGGCCGTCACGCTGCTACAGTCCCCGTCACTTAAAAATTCACCATCGCCCAGAATCACATCCACTTATTTTTTTTATCAATTAAAAAATTTCAACAATCACAATAAAAATTGAATTTATCTTATCATGTATTTATTTCAAACATATATCAAGAGTAATACATAAAAACAAGATAAGCAATCTACTTGAGTTAACATAAGAGGCTGATATCACTTAACTAAATAATTAGGGATCAAATTTTGATTATTACAAATGTAAAAATTAAAAACATAAAAGAAAATATTGATAAAAGTAGAAAAGGAGGGAAAAAAATAAGAAGAGGAAATTTATACACGAATAAAGGAGGCACAAAAGGAATAAATTTTTTTAATTTATACACGAAGAGGAAATTTATACACGAAGAAAATATTAATTTTTTAATGATTTCGAAATTTCGGATGAAATAACGTTTCTGATCGGTACAATGTTTGTAAAAGTGTTATAGACTATACTTTCGTTAATTAGCCGCTTGCAATAGCAAACATTCACACACAAGCTATGATATTCTCACACCTCTTTTTACGTCACACCTTTACTTTTTATTTATTTATTAATCTGTTATTATAAAAATCTCATTGACTGAAACACGTTTCTTCTGAGACTAATACACGATAAAATAAAGAGCGCAGATACAGCCTCCCAAAGTTTTTCGCCGAATTATCCTCGAAACATTAAAAAATTAATATTTATTAATAAATTTATTATAAAATAATTATTTAATTTAATATTTTATAATTTAAATTATTATTTTAATTATTCGATACGCATTTTGGGATGTAATTCGGAGATTGTATATTTTTTTAAAAGAAAATAAAATTCATTGTATTATGAACAAAATAAAGGGTTAAGCATTCACCGTACACATAACTTGATTTCAAGGATAACAACGGTGACATTTTTCACATAACTAATGGCCAAAATAAAAAAACAAACACACAGAAAAGGAATAAATAGTTATTATTCCACCTATGCTTTCATTCTTGTTACGAGACAATTACTCAACAACTTAATGTATTTGTTGAAATATAAATAAAATCTTATATTATTAAAAAAAGAAAAATAAAAATTTATAAAAACAATATCATATCAATATAAAAATATGTGTGAACGTTATCTAATAAATAACATTGTTTGTGAGAAACATAAATTCAGCTCCACTATGCATCCTCATAAATAACATTGTTTGTGAGAAGTATAAATTTAGGTCCACGACTCGACAGTTTCAATTCAACAAGTAACGTTGTTTATGAGAATGCTAAGAGCACCTCTAACGGAGGGTGCTTATTGTGTTGCTTAAGAATAAGCAACGAAGCTTACAAGAAACTCCCATTGGAGTAGTCTTACGTGGCAACTCAGTTGCTTAAATTTTTTTCACAATTGCTTCTGCAAGCAACGGAGCTTAGCACTGGAAAACTTGAAAGAGAGAAATTTGATTGGTTCTCTTGTATCCAGGTGGAATATGAACAGAAGTTTTGAAAATCAAAAAAACAATAAAACATCCTTCACCTCTTCAACCTCCGTCCGGGGAGGGTTGTTGATGCCGGCCGCCTCAGCACGGCCCGTCACCTCCGCGCGCGACCAACTCCGCCTGGCCGTCCCCTCCGCACGTGACCCCTCCTCGCGGCTGACCCCTCTGCGCGCGACCAGACCACTCCGTCCCGCACGCGGCTCCTTTCAACCAGACCCGCTGGCCGGCGAGGGAACCCCTCCGCCCACGCGCTCGCGAACCCCTTCAGCCGCAAAACCCACCGGCACGCGATCCCCTCCGCCCGCGAAACTCCTCCGGCCGCGAACCCCTCAGGCCGCGAACCACTCCGCCCGCGAGTGAAGAGAGTGAGTGAAGAGTGAGTGGAGCGTGAGTGAAGAGTAAGTGATAAGTGAGACAGTGGAGCGTGAGTGAAGAGAGAATTGAGAGACGTTGAGACGTGCATCAGAAAAAAAAAAAAAAAAAAAAAAAAAAGGATGTGGTGTCAAAAATTTATAATAAAGTGTAGTGTGAGGTGTTAAAAAGTGTAGTATGAGTCGTAAAAAAGTAGAGTTGCTTATAAGCAATTTCCATTGGAGTAAAAATTGTAAAAATGTAGTATGAGTTGCTTATGAGTGATGTGGCACAGTGAAACCTATTTAAAGTGGTTGGGAGTTGCTTATAAGCAACTCCCATTGTAGATGCTCTAATGATAACCAACTTAAATGTGTCTCAACTCTGAAAGTTTCAATTCAACTTTCTTAAAGCTATTGGATGACATCAACCAATTATGCATTAACTAAGTTGATCATTAATCACTAGTAGAAAAATAGTCTTTTACGTCACTATTTTTACGTCGGTCAAAACAGAAAACGACGTAGAAAAGAAGCGGTGACATTTTTGTAAATTTTGTGAACTTTTTTACGTCAGACTTAATAGGATCCGACGTAAAATGTAAAATCTACGTCGCACGTATTTAGTGACCGACGTAAATTTTAAATTTTACGTCGGAGTTTACTGTACCCGACGTAAAAAACCTCTCCAAATTTTCTCGCCTGAAGAACCATTTCGGTAGGTTTTAAATTGAGCCATTTCGGTATAACTGGGTAGGGGAACGTAGCTCTCTCACAGAAGCTTCCTTTGGGATTAACTGGGTAGAGGTGCCAGATGCTAAGCTGTGGAAGAGAGGTGCCCGATGCTCTCCGTTGAAACAGGACTTCAAGCCTTCGAAAGCTGTGGAAGAGAGGTGTTTTTTTCTTCATCCACACCAACATTGTAGATGCATGACAACAAGAGAAAGGTCACGTTTCCTTTTCCCATGTACAAGTTCCCTTTTGTATGTATTTTTCTTCACTGCTGCACCCTCTCGTTTCTTCACAGGTAGAAAATTCTTTGCGCGTGGGTGGATCTGCAGCAGAACGGCCCGTTCTCCTTGCACTCAATTTTTTTTAAAAATTTTTTTTATAACTTTTTACGTCGAACCTTGGCATGTCCGACGTAAATTTACGTCGGTTTTCCCGTCCCGACGTAAATTTACGTCTATCGCTTCAACGTCTAAAGTTTTTCTGACGTAAAAACTCCTAAAATGACCGACGTAAAAGGTGTATTATGTACTAGTGAATGATTCACAACTTAAGGAGTTATTTTGACATTTTTTTTTTAATTTTAGGAATCCATATGAGTGACCATTAATCTCAAGGCAATTTTACAATTCTATTAATTTCAAAACTAATTTAACCGACCTTACAATTTTAGAACTAAATTGGTGAGCTAATCTTTTAAATCAGATGAAACACCAACATATTTGTAATTACCATTTGGTGTTTACGATAAAAATACAACTAGCTATGAGGAAAAAAAAAAAGAATTTATTTTGAACCAATAAAGTTAAGGTTTAGCCTTCTTATCCAGATTGAGTGAAGTATCATATGCATCAAGTCGAATGGTTTTGCTGGTCGATTAATCATAAAATGCCTTCGAACTCTCAAAACATTCATGTGCAATTTCAAATACTTCTTCTTCGAAACACTTTGCAATATAGTCTTGATTTCTGGTATTTTCTCCACAGGAATCTCCACTGAAAATTGACTCCAATTCAACACATCAGTAAAGGGTAGAGAGTAATTACTAGAAATTATGACGGGCACACACCCCGCATGAATCGCTTCCACCACTCTAGGACTTGCAACTTCATACCCACTGGGGCACAAGCAAAACTTGCTTTGTCCCATTAATTTGGTGTAGTCTTTACCCTTTGGAAGATTTTCATAAACTTGGACATCATTATCTTTGTTCTTCCAATGATTCAGCAATATTTTTCGAATTTCACCATGTTCTCTTCCAGCAAAGAAAGCTAAAATGGTGCGGTCGTTTGGATGTTGTCCTAGATTGGGTGGACCTAGCTTTCCTTTCGGCAAATAAACTTCGGGGATAGACACATCTTTGTTAGGTTTGAATCCTTCAGAAGTATTAGCATTGCAAAGTACCCTCATAAAGCTCTTAAAGAGTATAGGATTGCCATACGAAACTTTCGGACCCTGATTCATCAAATAATGATTTTGATTTGTTAAAGCAAAATGGCTAATCACAATAATAAATAATGAAAATCTCCTTATCTAATACCAATGTTAGGATATAAGATCTTACCCAATCATGACATGATAGTAAAAAATGGTCTGCACCTTCAGTTCTATTCCAATAAGGATACTTGTATGCAATAACTCTAATATAATCTTCCACCAAGCGTTGCAAGCGAATAGGTTCATAGTCTGAATGCTTTCGAATAGGCTTGTAAACAAAGTGAACAACGTTAGCTATACTAAAGGGAATGAAAAAAACGTGTGCCTGATTAGGATGTCTAGCCCTGAAGTGGCCCCACTTATCATAATTATTCATTTCATCCATAAATTGCCCTTCAATGGCGTATATATCATTTACGGGTCCATCATGCACTAATGGTTGCTCTCCCTCTTCATAAACCCACACCTTCAATCTCTTCAACATCTCTTCGTGGCTCCTGAAAGTGAATTCGAAAATTATTAATTCTCTAGGAACCAACTACGTAATAGTGTAATACAGTAAGCACGATTTCTTACTTTGCACAAACTCCAATACACTTGAGTATACTGTACTACTACTGTACACGCACATGGAAACATTAATGGGTTTTACAAAAATTGCGGGAAATTAAACAAAAGTAATTAATCCATTTGCAGAGTTATGGTAACAAGAACCATCGGGCTTTCTCCGCTATATGGGGCAAGGGATGTTGGGATAAATTGTATTATATTATTTATTAATTAGATTACATAATTTAAGAACATGCATAAAATGAAAAATGATGAAATAAACTGGAATATAAAATTTGTCTAGAACGTACTCCAAATTTTTTTACGTATAAATAGTTTAGAAGACGAAATGGGTTTGAGAAATTTTGAAGCTTAACTGATGAAACACACGAGGGTTCCAGTAAATGGATGTTTTGGGGACAAAATTTTCTCTCTTGGGTGAAGTATAGTTCCTTGATCGTGTAGATTCATGAATTGAGGCTCGTGCTCGTGCTAAACCTTCTTCTAGTTTCTCCAAACTAGGGAATTTCTTCCATGAAGCAAAACCGGAAAGAGTAGACAAACAAAGTAGAGTTAGATAAGAAGAAAAGGAAAAAAGAAAAAAAAGTCTCTAGATATTTGAAGGTTGCGCACCTTTATAGAGGGACTTAAAACAGTGTTATTAAGATTGTAGGTTTGATCTGCAGAAGTAAAGTTGGAAAATTGTTGAGGTGGTGAGGGAGAGGTTATATTTGTGTGGTTTTCTTTGATAGTGGAAATAAGGAAAGGAGGAGGGTAGTGGGTAATTTCCTTGGAGGGAAAAAAGATGAAGAAAGTGAGAAAAAAGAAGAGGGGGAAATAAATTAAAATGCAGAAACGGGGCATCTCAACTCTCAACCATTCCATTGCATTTGCACCCTTTGCCTTGTTCTTTCAACCTGTTCCTGTCCATAAATAATTCGTACATATGCTCGGAAAGGAAAATCCAAAAGCTAACATATACAGAGACACACTTTCGTCTTTATGGAATGAATTCAAGAGACCAAAATTCTTGTTTTATTTACCAAAATCAAAACTCTATTTTAGCTTAAATTAACGGTCAATTTAATTTTTTTAAAAAAATTTGAGCATGAGAAAGAAATTTGATTAACGCTTCACTATTAGATTAACTTTTAATATTATGCTTTTAAAAGAATAATTACACCTGACATTAAAAAATAAGAATAATTACATCCAGCGTTCATTTTTTTATAATTTTTTTCCAATCTATAGTTTAATTTCTTATATATTTTCACTTAAACCCTAAACCTAAAACTCTAATCAAGAGTTCAATTAAGATTTTTTTTAGAAAAAAAAACACACTAATGACTAGGTTTTACATCTAACAACTTTTCTTCAAGCAGATAAAATTTATTTGTCCTATTATGTTCTGTATTCCATTCATCATTTTTCAAACAACTTAAATCAGTGCAGTGAAATTACAATAAGAGGACAAGTTTTGTTTGTATGTTCGAGGACACCGAACAGAATACTGTTTTAAAGAATAGGAATTCATTAATGGTTGAAAATGACATGACGATATTAAATTTTTTTGGGTAGTTCAAAGATAATTCAGTATCTTATATGTACCTCTTAAAAAGAATACTGTGTTTTCTAAAATGAATGATAAAGATTTGATAATTTTAGGTTAAAATTTTTATTATAATATTTTTTATTTTAATTTAGTCTTACTTTAATTTTTTATTTTAATTTGATTCTTAATAATTGAAGACTAAATTAAAATAAAAAATTAAAGTGAGACTAAATTGAAGAAAAAAATATATTATAAATAACTAAATAATAATTTTACTTTCTTTTTCTATATGAACAGTGAACCAAACCCGTGAAAAACGTGAGGGTAAGTCCCTGAAACTTCGCTGAATTTAAAACTTAAAACTCTGATGGCAACGAATCTGAATTATATGCCTCGGGACGAACAATCAAATCAATCAATGCACTGCATGTAGGGGACAGCACTTTCCATTTGCAGTTTCCATTTTTTAAATAAAGAAACATTAAATAGCTTTTAATATTTTAAAATAAATTTAAATATATTTTTAGTCTCTCAAATTTAAGATAAATTTATTTTTAGTTCCTCAAATTTAAAATTGTTGTTTTTAGTTCTTGTAATTTTCAAAAATCTTGTTTTAGTTCCTTAAGTCACCAATAACATATTTAAATGTGACTAATTAAGACAGTTATGCAATATCAACCGGATTAAATGTGATATTTTCATTAATAGGAATACTAATATATAAATTTTATGCAATAATATTTGATAAATTTCTTAATAAAATTTAAATATAAGGATTAAAATAATTTTTTTAAAATTATAGCGACTAAAAACAACAATTTTAAATTTGAGGGGCCAAAAACAGATTTACCTTAAATTTGAGGGACTAAAAATATATTTAAGCCTTTTAAAATATTATATATATATATATGAAAAATGACAAATATTTACCACATTTTTAGAATGGAGCAAAGAGAAAAAAAAGTGTAAATGACGAGTAAGTCATACGATGAGAAAAGAAGAAAAATGAAATAAATAAATATACAATATAAAAATTTTTCTTAATATTTTAATATAAAATATCATAAGAAATGAAAGAAAATATATCATTGCTTTTTAATATTATTTCATATTATATTCAAAAAGCAAATTATTATATTTGCTTTAATAAGTTAAACTAAATAGTGCATCTTAGTCTTATTTGAAAGACTTCCATTTTATTTGACATTTTAATAATTTTAATTTGTTTAAATTTGATTATCATTTTATAATGAATTATTAAATATTTTTTCGTATTATATTTTCAACTATTATTAGTACATTCATAAATGAATGTGTTATTTTTCTTTTCCAATACTTGTTTTATTAGTTGGAATTCAAAAAGTTTAAAAGTATGATAGGAAACAATTATTTTTTACGAAAGCAAACATATAAATTACATTTTAAAAATTTTGTGTCAAAATTTTAAACTTTAAATAAAATAAACGGAGTGAATAGTGATTAACTAATCTATATGATTAATGTAACTTTTGAAATTATTATGGTAAAAATCAATAAAATTATAATTTGAAAACAACGTAAAATTGACACTATACTGAAAGGTCTTTAGATCACAGCAAAGTTCTCGAACTAACAAAGACATGATTCAAAGAAGGAACTTACTGTAGTTTAGGATTAGTCGTATATGTACAAATGCAACAAATGATAGACGAAAATAGAAAATAGACCTGTAAACTTTTTTGTGATTTGTAGTTTGAATTAGGATTCTGTTGTATAAAAAAGGCCACGCTAACGTATTTTCCATTACCAAATTATGTGGACTATGAAAATACGTGGTGCACCACTTCCAGCTTGTATGATAATCAAGGACGGAGCCAAGGGAGGACCTACGGGTGCCACGGCCCCCCCAACAATTTTAATTTTTTTTTATATACATATATATTACTATATGGCACCCCTTATTTTTAATATAAACTCATATTTTTAATATAAACTCATATGTATATTACTATATGGCACCCCCTATATGGCACCCCCAGTATTGAAATCCTGGCTCCGTCCCGGATGATAATGATAGTCATAGACTTTTGAAGAAGGATAGGGACCTGACTATTCGTAGTTATGATGACACTGACACTACTAAATGGGATGACGACAATAAGAAAATTGTATAAAAAAAATTACACCACTGATTAAGCCAATGTTGACACGCGTAAACTTTTTTTTATCGGCGATACGATATTATATTACCACTGACTAAGCCAATTTGGCTGTGGAGGATGAGAAGTTGATCATCAACTCCTCATAATTATTTCTATAATGCCGATTCACAACGGATAATATGTCAAGATATTGCTAAAAAAATTGAAAGCAAATCATTTTAACTATTAAATTGATTTTAAAAACTGGGAATTAAAAAATTGTGTTTTTATTGTGATTTAATTCAGTTTTATTTTGTTATTTATTAATACAATAATGGCAATGAAATTAAAATCTAACCCTTATCCATATTATTTAAAATTTCCATCATTAATTTAATTTAATTTTTAGTAAAAACGATAAAAGTTAATTAATTGAATTAAAATTGTTTAATATATCACTCCCTAGACATATATTAAACAAAAACTTTTATTTTATGTAAGAATTTTTTTTTTATTTTAAAAGAGAGTTTGTAATTTTTTTTTTTACTTCTTACCTGTGAGACCCCTTCTCTGTTTTCTCTTCTCCCCTCTCTTACACTCACTCTCACTCACTTTGCTGTCCACTCTATTCTTCCCCCTTTTCACTCTCATTTTGCCTCATTCTCTCCTTGTCTTTGGCCTTGTCAGGAACCATTAGGTAGAGGTGCTGAGTAGTAGTGTTGGAAGCTAGCTGAACCGTGCGGAGATTTTCTTCAAGTCTTTTCTTCTCCTTCTCCTCCATTTTCTTCTTCCCGGAGCTCAGATTCTTCACTGAGGTAAGAGAAGTTAGTTTTGCTGCGTTCTTGGTTGAAATGAGTCTAGGAACTCATTGTGATTGTTGATGATTGATGGTTCTTGGCTGATTTGGAGAAAATGGGATTTTTAGGGGATTTCGGGGTTTGAAGAAATTTTGGGGTTTTTAATGAATTGTGTTTGCATGTTGAAAATGAGACGTTTTTATTGATGTTTGATGAAAATGGAGACTTTTGGCTGGATTGCATGCTGGTTTTCTGTTGATTTTTGCAGGTTTTGGGAGCCTCTGGTTGGCTGATGCAGGGCGTGACTTGAGCTGCGCCGGGCGCGATATCAATGGTGACATGTTTTGGGTGTTCTGGTGCCGCGCTAGGCGCGCGTTTGGACTCGCTGGGCGCGGAGGCTCCTTGGGAGTCTCTGCCAAGAGGGTGCTGGGCGCAATACGAATTACGCCGAGCGCGAGACCTTGGTAGGTCTCTGCCTTCCCCACGCTGGGCGCGGGTTAGGCCACGCCGAGCGCGTGAGACTCCTTAGAGTCTCCGCCTGGGCTTGCGCTGGGCACAATTGATATTGCGCTAGGCGCGTGAGAGCCTTGGGCTCTCTGGCTGAGTCACGCCTGGCGCAAGTACCCTTGCGCCGGGCACACTGGCCCCTGGTGCTCTCTGGTTGTGCCACGTCGGGCGCGACCAGGCGGGCACCGGGCGCGTAGGAGGATGTGGAGTTATATGCTGAATTTGCTGATAATATTGAATATGCTGTGCTGACTCGATGTTAAGCTGTAATAGATGTATAATGTTGTGCTGAGCTGGGCTGTTATTGATGATTTTAAATGCTCTATTATATGATATTGTTGTGCTCTAGAATGATGAGCTGAGTTGTGAGTAGTAAGCTGTGTTGAATACTACTTAGTTGTGTCGTATTGTTGATTTGCTATGCTGTGCTATGAGCTGTTTTGCTGTGTTGTTCGTTACTGAGCTGTATGTTGTGTTTGGCCACTATTGTGGTGCTGATATAGCCGCTTTGTCGGTGCTGTTATAGCCACTATTGTGGTGCTGTTATAAGCCGCTTTGACGGTGCTGTTATAGTCACTATTGTGGTGCTGTTATAAGCCGCTATGTCGGTGCTGTTGTTAGCCACTATTGTGGTGCTGTTATAGCTGCTGAGCGGTGCTGATATTGCTGAATTGCCCTGGTGTAGTAAGTTGTGCGGATGCGCTGATAACTGTAGCTGTTTACCATTCATATATTTAAATATGTATGTTGATTTCATTACACTAGCTTACCCTTTGTTGTCTCCATGATGTTTGGACTGCAATGATTATACTATGTATGGGAGCAGAGGAGGGATAGGTTGGTGGCTGAGGGTGAGTCTGTAGCTGGCAGACGGAGCTGAGCTGTTAGGATCCTTTTTGTTGTTTTTAGCTACCTAGTTGAGTAGCCTTTGATGTATTTTGTACACTTTAACTCTATCCAGATTTGGATAATGTATATGTATATATTCTAGACCCTATATGTATACACTTCTTCCTTTCTGTGTGGTGTTCTAGTGTGCTGTGCCGGGTGTAGTGACCAGCTGGGTCGTTACATTACCTAATTCAATTTTTATTTATTATAATGATTCATGAATTAAATATTAATATCTTAACATAAATTATCAATAAATAAAAATAACTTTTTGTTACAATACAAACTATTTAAAATAAATTAAAAATATTATTTATATATTTAAAAATATTTATGTGTATTAATTTTAAATATAATTTATATATTTAAACATAATATATATATATATATATATTATAAATTTTAATTAATTATTATACAGTAAATACAAATTTCTAAAATATTTTTAAGATTTTTCTTCCGTGAGAGTGCTTAAAAAAAAAAAGCTAGTTATTTTGAACCAATAAGTTTAAGGTTTAGCCTTCTGAGCCATAATGAGTGAAATATCATATGCAACAAATCGTATGGCTTTGCTGGTCGATTGATCATAAAATGCCTTCGAACCCTCAACACATTCATGTGCAGTCTCAAATACTTGTTCCTTGAAACACTTTGCAGTATAGTCTTGATTTCTGGTATCTTTTCCACCGGAATCTCCACTGAAAATTGACTCCAATTCAACACATCAGTAAAGGGTAGAGAGTAATTACTAGAAATTATGACGGGCACACACCCCGCATGAATTGCTTCCACCACTCTAGGACTTGCAACTTCATACCCACTGGGGCACAAGCAAAACTTGCTTTGTCCCATTAATTTGGTGTAGTCTTTGCCCTTTGGAAGATTTTCATAAACTTGGACATCATTATCTTTGTTCTTCCAATGATTCAGCAATATTTTTCGAATTTCACCATGTTCTCTTCCAGCAAAGAAAGCTAATAAGGTGCGATCATTTGGGCGTTGCCCCAAATTGGGTGGGCCTAACTTTCCTTTCGGCAAATAAACTTCAGGGATGGACACATCTTTGTTTGGTTGAAATCCTTCCGAGGTGTTTGCATTGCAAAGTGCCCTGATGAAACTTTCGAAGAGTTTAGTGTTGCCATATGAAACTTTCGGACCCTGTAATCAAATTAAGTTGGTGTTATTTATAATTCTGATTTGTTAATCACAACACAATAATAAAAATCTCCTAAGCTAACACCAAATTTAGAGGAACATATACTATAAGATAGCAGGCTAACTATATATATACATATAAGATATAGGATCTTACCCAATCATGACATGATAGTAAAAAATGATCTGCCCCTTGGCTTCTATTCCAATAAGGATACTTATATGCAATAACTCTAATATAATCTTCCACCAAGCGTTGCAAGCGAATAGGTTCATAGTCTGAATGCTTTCGAATAGGCTTGTAAACATAGTGAACAATGTTAGCTATACTAAAGGGAATTAGAAAAACGTGTGCTTGCTCAGGATGTCTAGCCCTGAAGTGGCTCCACTTATCATCGTTGTCTATTTCATCCATGAATTGCCCTTCAATGGCGTATATATCATTTGCGGGTCCATCATGCACTAATGGTTGCTCTCCTTCCTCGTACACCCACACCTTGAATCTCTTTAACATCTCTTCGTGACTCCTATTGAATTATGGTGTTATAGAAAACAATTTATTAGGAAACCCACCATATATGTATGATTTCTTCTTGCCACAAATTAACTTATTCAATCCATTTTGAGATAGATTATCTAAATATTTGTACAATATTAAACTATATTAATTCATTTTTTGAATCTCAACCATTATTTTATATATATATATATATAAATGAATTCAAATTAAAGATATTATATTTTTCTTAAATTTTCTTGAAAATTTAGTATGCATTTTTATTATATAGACTAACAACACAAGTTTCCATCGGAGTGTATAATACAGTTGTCAAACTTGAATTGATCTAACTTGCTTAGTTAATAAGCTTTAATTTGATATCAATCATCTCTATTTTTTTTTTTTCAAGAATTAAAGATACCGAAACAAGCATTAATAAACGATTGGATACTAAAAGCGTTAATAAATGAAGTTAATATTTAATTAAAAGTATTAAATCATATTTTAATATTAATTCTTTTTAAAGCAAGCTATACTCATCTAATATTATGAAAAAATTATTGTCACTGATAAAATACTTATGCCAAGTCAACAGTATTAAAAGATAGTGGTTGAAGGAATTGACATGTATTTGAAACAAAAACAAAAAAAAAAAGATCAATAATGATAAATAAATAAATAAAATGATTGTTGGACACTTCCAAAAGCCTATTAATTAGACAAGAGAAAAAAATTATAGATATTATAGCTAAACTTTATGATATAATAAGATTACAGAAATGAAGAAAAATGATGAATGTAAGTGGGGTCTATAATATATAGGTTTAGTGTTCATGTATATGAATTAAAGGAAGACTTGAATATGAAACCATAAAATATCTAGGCTGGTACCCTGATATTAACTAGTTTAGAAGACGATGAGTTTAAGAAGTTTAATTTGGAGCTTAACTGATGAAAAGCATATGGATTCCAGTAAATGGATCCTTTTGGGACAAAGTATTGTGTGGTGGCCGAAGTATAGTTCCTTGATAGTATAGACCCCTGAATTGAGGCCCGTGCTCGTGCTAAACCTCCTTCTATTTTTTCCAAATCAGTCAATTTCTGTCATAAGCAAAGCGATCGAAACCCAAAAGGGTATGCGGTAAGATAAAAGAATATACATCATCTATATATACTTGAAAGAAAATAAAAGAAAACATTATTCTCTCTAGATTCTAAGGTTGCGTACCTTCATAGCGCTACTTAAAATAGTGTTATTATTGTAGGTTTCCTTTGCAGGAGTAAAGTTGGAAAGAAGCTCAAGTGGAAGAGGTGGTGGTGGGGAGGGAGAAGTTATATTTGTGTGGTTTTCTTTGATAGTGGAAACAAGGAAAGGAGGAGGGAAGTGGAAGTGGGTAAGATGGTTTTGTTCCTTAAGGGGAAAGAAGATGAAGAAAATAAGAAAGAAAAAGACTGGGAATAAACATGCAAAAACGGGGCACCTGAACCATTCCATTATTCACTATAATCTTCATATAGTCTTTGCCTTATTATAGTTGCAATGGTGTAGATAAATGATAATAATTCATATATACGGCCCCAGAGAAAGTGATACTTCAGAAAGTCACAGGCTCACAGCGTAAGGAACTTGTCCAAATTCATTTCGTCTTTTTATGGAATGGATTAAATGCTCACACATATTCGTTTTTAGTTTTAGTTTTGAGCACGCGATGATAGAAATTGAACAACGAGGTTCTCCTGCATGCTTATCCAAACGTAAGGTTAAATGGTTAACGATGAAACCAAAAGTGTCTTTCGTTTCATCGGTATTGAGCTCCATTTCGTAATGTAATTAAATGGTTAATGACAAATAAGATGCACCCTAATTTTTGGTATTTGTTGTTTTTTTGTTTTTGTTTTTTTAAAAGATTAAGACGATCCACCTTTAAGTAATATGATTAGAAATAATAAAAAAGAGAAAAATATGACACATATGATAAGTAAAATGATTAGAAAAAAAAACAAAATAGAATATTTATAATAACTTTTTCAGCAATTAAAATGAAAGTTTATTATTTAAATGAATAATGATAATTGGACACTTCTTTTTCTATAAACTTCACAAATATATATATATATA